CTTTTGTGGTAGTGAAGAAAAACATGTCAGACATGTCAGTCAATTCTAACTGGAACTGTAGGCGAGTGACTGTGACACAATCGAATTAATGCCGTTACCTTATCCTGGTGGTTTGGCTTCTGTGCTACAATGATCCTTCGGGCTGTACTGGCTGGAACTCAGTTCCTAAGGAAAGTCAACGGAGAATAGCCCGACGAAGAACAGCGAGTCCCCGTGCTGCGAGTAATCGTAATATGTGGCGGTCTGGAGGCGAAGTTGTACTGTCCTCTGCGAAAGGAGTGTGAAGGCGACCAGGATGTGCATATTTATGGAAACAGCGATGCTGCTTTCTCCCGAGGAAAGACGAGTTAGAAAACGTCAGCTTTAAGAAACCGCCCACTCCGATCGCCCAACGGCGCATTTTTCGATACGGTCGAAACACTTTTTAAACGAAAGAGTTTGGTGCTGCTCGAAAGGCACTGGCATGCAGCTACCAGTAATGCCGTACTTCCTACGTCCTCCGGCCAACCGGACCCCTACAGCCAATTAGGTTAGACCTTTGAGTCATTGGCTCCGAGAAGGGTCCCCAAGAAAACCTCAACAGCCGCTGCCTTGTGGTTCAGACTTTTGAATCAGAGGCTAGGGACAGGGCCCACGAACAAAACCCTACATCCTCCCACTGTGTTGTGCGTCAGGCTTTTGAATCAACTCCTGGAATTGGGGTACATCAGCCAAACCCTCATCTTCGGCTTTCGGGCAACCGGGAAGTGTCATTCACCCTTGCAACAGCTCTGAGATTGTGATGAGATTGTGATGGATGGCTTTTTTTTGTCATAGTTTATGGCGACTGCTTTGGTCAGCAAAAAAGGCGGGTATAGTGATCTTGGTGGGTGGTATGAATGACCAAGTTTGATGACTCAGTCTGGAAGAAGCGCTATTATGTGGTAGAATTGGAGTCGATACTCAGCCTATGTATAATGGGGAGTGACTGCTTCAGTCGTATGCAGATCATCGTCTGTTCTTGGATAGTTCAAACTTCCAACAGAAACGTTCACGTCGAGTCAATTGGGGACCACCGATCGGCAGACAGTCGTGGACCCTTAGGATCATGTGGTCATCCGTTGCTGATAGGGAACGTCAATTAAAGAATGTCGTTCCTTCTGGAGTACTCAGCTCGACTCTGATCGGGCCATTGTGCTGGCCCGGTTACCACTTTGCTTTCCGTCAGGATTGCGCTTGCCAAAGCAGAACAGTTCCATTCATCGACTCGGGCAAGTTTCAGCAGCTGAAGTGTTTCGAGCTGACCAGGCTAGAAAGCGACTGGAAGGGCACAATGATGCAGGTGGCGAAGATCGTTTGAAGACTGAATGGAAGCGGGTTAAAGACGCTATGCTCTCAGCTTTCAGATCTATTTGTCCAGGCCATCCGACTAGACCAAATGAACACTGGATATCTTCGAGATAAGCAGATCTTATTGCGACAAGAAAGTCCGTACCAGCCACTAGCGATTGTGATGGCGCACTAAGTTCCTTCAAATCAGGAGCTGGTGCATTTCGAGTACGCAGCAAATGGAGAAGGCGTTCACTGCAAGCAACAGCCACGCTTTATTTCAGCTGATCCGATGAGCCAGTCACTAGAAGTCACCAGAATGCGAGAAAGACGGAACCGCAATTCACCCCATCAGTCGTCATCTTGAGCGATGGGCTAAGCAGTTCCAAGGACAGTCCAGCTGGCCTCCTCCGCTGGAATAACGCAGTGGGCCTGAGTGGAACTTCGTCACCAGCCCACCATTAACAACAGAAATTCAGCAGGNCCCGGTTACCACTTTGCTTTTCGTCAGGATTGCGCTTGCCAAAGCAGAACAGTTCCATTCATCGACTCCGGCAAGTTTCAATAGCTGAGGTGTTTCGAGCTGACCAGGCTAGAAAGCGACTGGAAGGGCACAATGATGCAGGTGGCGAAGATCGTTTGAAGACTGAATGGAAGCGGGTTAAAGACGCTATGCTCTCAGCTTTCAGATCTATTTGTCCAGGCCATCCGACTAGACCAAATGAACACTGGATATCTTCGAGATAAGCAGATCTTATTGCGACAAGAAAGTCCGTACCAGCCACTAGCGATTGTGATGGCGCACTAAGTTCCTTCAAACACCAAATAATCAGGAGCTGGTGCATTTCAAGTACGCAGGAAATGGAGAAGGTTGTTTTTTCTTGATCTGAAATATGCTTCTGACTCTATCGATCGCGAGAATCTTTGACGGTGTCCAGCGATCCGACGTATTCCTATAGAGGAAAATGTTGGTAGCTCAGGTAGCGTAGATGGTGGTCGTTGGCTTGTTCGCTGAGCTGGGCAATTTGATCGCAAACGTTTCATCACCAGTCGAGGTGACATCATCAGTGCGTTATTGTGCAGCGTAGTAGTGCGTAGCTACGCACGGTACGGGTACTTTCATTGAAGAATGTGTCCAGCACCAGGAGCTGCGTTGGTCGGGACATGTGTTGCGTATGCCTAACCTTCATTTGCCCAAGAGATTGCTGTTTTCCATGCCCAACTCACAGTGGCGGAAGCAGAGAGGTGGCCAACACTTGACCTTTGAATGGACGCTGTCGGTGCTGCTCGCCTTCCAGGAGGGGGGCCGCGTGATCTTTACTGCGCCTGGTTGGAAACACTGCAGGATATAGCTGCCAACCGATGTCAGTGGCGTTCTTATTGTCATTTTCTGTCCAGGTTGCCTGAATGAGTGGAAGTGTAGGTACTTCGGAATGATTGTGCTCGTAATTGTAAAGACTGGGACAGATTCCGAAGTGTAGTGAATTGACTAAGTTCACTCGGCAGCACAGTCCCACACAAATGTACATATAGGTTGGAGAGTGTGAGAAAAAATGAAGAAGTCTAATTCAGCCATAAATGAGTGAATTCATATATCTGGAATCACCCTAGCTGCTTTCGAAATGTCAGAGCGCAAATATACAAGTGAACAAACGAAAGTACTTTGCGTTTTAAGGTCGTTCCTCTCTCCTGGCAATGATTGTACGTGTAAACTGCTACTAGTCATTATTACCTAACATGGTAGTGATGCCGTCTCAGCGTAGCGAAAACACTGATGAAGCAATAGGTTTGCAGTCGAATCGTTCTCTGGCATTAACTCCGCGCTTTTTTTGCAGAACGATACTTTAACGATGAGATCTACCCATGTTTTAGTTTTTTGTTGACTTGCGCACATGTTCCATCGTCTTTTGTAGAAGAGGTCCTGTCCAATGAAGAACCAGGTGAAAGCTCGAGTAATGCTGGACCCTCAAATGTTACTGGAGAAACAAAATTGACATCGCTTAGTGAAAACACGACGCCATGCCGAAAAACGTCGTGCACCAAAACAGTAACACCGGAACCCATAGTATTCTATGCTACACAAGCCGCGTTCCCATTCATTCAGACTCCTTGTCGAAGCAGACAACGTTTTCACCGTCCTTCGAAGCAGTCTTTGGACCATCATGTGTCGTCGGCTGGCTTTTCCGATGCATTTAACTGTCCTAAGTGTGTCGCAGTTGAGGTATCCCACGGTCGCCGTCACTTGCGAAGCAAATCTCCACCGTCCGCTTGCTTGCATCTGGTGGCTTTTGCCATTCCCTTCGTGCTGGTTCTGATAAGTCTGACCGTTGCAGAGGTAAGCCTTTCGTCCTTTTACTCAGATCATGTGGTTGTGTGTGCTTACAAACGGAAGAACTGGTTCGGTGGTTGGTTCCTGCCGTCAACATGAGTTATCGTTTTATCATTTGCTGGCACATGGCACACACTTGGTACGAGGTTGAAATCAGAAACACCGGATGGTAACTTGATGCTTGTCGAAGTGTTGTTCTAACGTAACGTTTTATATTATTTTTAAGCCCTAACTGGACCGCACAACTGTTGCTGTCCACAGTGAAACAGCTAAAGCGTCTGACAGACACCACTTTTGGCTTTGTCACGTTCACGCACTAAATCACGGGTTTCAAGGTTAGTAAACCTCTTCAGTATTCGCTACGGGTATACTAATAAGGGGTTGTTCAAAACACCGAAAAGGAAGTGATTTTTGGTGGCAAAACGAACAAGGTGAAGACTTTTCTCCTGTCATTCATTCCATCTTTCGAAGAGACCCTCGTGGGGTGTAGGTTATGGTAGTTACTGATGGTGTTTCCTCGGTACGTCCTGGATGGAGGGTGGAAAACAATACCTATACGTAGCATGCTCCTTTACGAAAGTTTAGTTTTTGATGATTCACTAGACACTGACTGGATATCTTCACCTCCTGTGTCAGCTCATATCTTTCAGAGCCTACAATTCGACTTCATCCATTCTACCCGTTCCTTCTACAACAGATTGATGGGGATTCTCTGTCCGGCATTTGTGTTGTCGGTCGTGCCAATATTTGGGCTCGTTTGGGGCTTGTTCTCATCCCCTTCTCCGTATGTCTCTGTGTGAAGTGCGCCTACTTAGGTCGCCTGATCCACCAAATGAACGAGCTCCGTCGGTGCCTGTCCAAATCCCCATTTATTATGGACCAAGATCGTTCCCACCGCTTCGGCCGCTGCGCTCACTCCTACGGTACGTTAGTTTTGCTTCATCCCAAGTGGGATTCCCTGTGCGTCCAATAGAAACAGGCAAACATCTTTTCACCTACGCATTTAGCTTTAATGCTCTATGCAGTAGAATGTTCGGTCCAGCCAGTTATCAATCTAGCAAATTCCCTGTTTCATAAACGCACGAAATCCAAGCAAGTATTAGAGACTGTCAGAGGAGAGCGAATAGTTTACTACTTACGAATGACATGTGCGACCATTCGTTCGCATGGATTGCTTATTTGTTGAAAGTAATCATACTGCACGAAAACATCTGCTCGCCCCTTTCAGGTCATCGAACTGCTGTTCGGCTAACCTGAGTGACTCAAAGAACACCGTCACTGATCTCCATTGAAGTCCATCAGTCTTTAGCGCCACTTTTTCAACCAGCCTAATCATTCTGCTTCTTGATATTGCTTTCAGGCATATTTTTGATTGCTCTGATCTGCCTTTGGGCTTTCTCGGTCGGTGTGCAGTCCTACGTCCTCATCAGTGAACCTGCTTGGTTGTCTTCCCAACGTTCACTAGTAATGTAAGTTTGTCTGTCAATCGAACTTGCGTTTACTCGCATTTGTTTTCTTTGAACTGAACACTGTTGGGAGATATGACTCAAGTGGTTAGAGCTTGAATTTGCCGACCGGAAGGTGCGTGGTTCGAAACTGACCTCTGCCTCTCGACTTCCCCTGTCTAGGCTTGGGCAACCTGACATTATCTCAGCCCTCGTGCTTCCTTCGGGTTGCATGGCAGCTAGGCACCGAAAAGGTGTTACAGCTGAACGAGTGATTGAATTAAATCGAACACTTCATTTGTATTTAAAGCATAGCATGATTATCACGTCGGTTGTTTTCTCCTCATTGTACCTCAGCTCGATGTCAGCTCAGTCGACGCTCCTGTCAATTTCATGGTTGTTCTCCTCTGGATTTACTTTCCTTGTTGGCATTCGGTTACTGTGTTTGTTGCATAGTTACTTGTCAGTCAGTCGTCTGGGTTTTCAGTAAACAGTACACCCATTTTTCCATGGTATTGTACTACTTATACTACGGTATTCAACTACATTACGCAGCTTCTATTGCTCACGTGACCTGTGTTCCCATTAGGCTAGTTAAGAGGTTCTGTGATACCTATGGTGCACTCCCATTATTTCGCTATGGCGTCAGTCTTTTTTCAAAGGGTTTTCTGTGTTGGTCATTTCTGATGAATTTTAGATGAACGCTTTGATACAAAAATTGTACTGAAAACGCTCCCGATTTAACGGTGAATCGTATTGTCATAATGATAATCCCTCAACTCAGCTTTCGATCTGAAACCTGCAAGCTAGCCTTCTCTTTAAAAGAGCCACCAAAGGTGCACACTGTGTGTGAAACGCCCAAAACCAGGTCAAAAACACTTGTACAGCGCGTGGTTTTTAAAGTATGTAAGGGAACAACACCATGAAAATTTCGACTTTGTCACCCGCATCCGGAGGATGTTGGATCATGGTTGGCCGTACTTTCAACCAATCAGAGCTCGCCTTGATGCTGGCAGGCAAGCGGCCCGAACTTTTGGCCAACTGCGTGTGTGGTAGGCTTCCTGGCGAGCGGTTAATCGGCTTCGAGCGGGATTTCGCCTAACACGTTTACGCACAAATGTGTAGTAAATTAAACCGAACTGGCTCATATGGATCACATCTCCGGAAGTTCACTTTCAAAGGACGAGCTGTTGCAACGAGTCAGATACAGTTTTGTGAAGCTTTCGTAGACGTTCTTGTTTAATTCAGTGCCCTTCAGAGGGTGTTTTGAACGATAGTTTTGTAAGTCATTGTGTAGTACATGTGAAGAAATGTGTGTGGGGATTTGAGCACGAAGTGATGTTTCAACACATCAACGTTTGTTCGAAAAAAGCAGATTTGTGCTGGGGAATAGATGATTTCTGGCACACCGTCTGATTAAAATAAAGTCGGCTTGCAACAAGCCAGGATCAGCACAAAATTGAGTGTAGTAGTAACGGCGGTAGGGAGTTTACTTACTGAATTAAGACATTTCAGACCACCGGACAACAAACCACCGTTTATTGTCAAATATACCTTCGCTCATCAATGCTGCTACAGTTTCGCTCACCAGAAATTGGGAGGCAGTGATAGCTACAGTTGGACATTGCGGGCAATCGCATGTTCAGTTAGGTTGGGAACAGGGTAGCTACGCATTGAAGTCGATAGCTTTGACGCACGGACGCCACTGACTGCGCAATCGGTCCATTTCGCCAGTGCCGTTAATCATCGGTAAGCTGAGCCCCTATCAAGGGTACGGCAGTTGTCAACCCAACGGAGTTTCTGGTTAGTTTCTTCCACGTTGTTGCCAGGCCATACACTATCCATCGCTTGTAGCTTTCACTCAGCACAAGTCTGGGCGAAAAGTTCTTTGTGAAGCAACTAATTCTGTGGCGTACGGAGTGCATTTCCGAACCAGTGTAACCCATGGAGCGTCGGTAATTCATGTATTGTGAGAGAGTTCCTTCTTCCTAAGACCATTTGTTGTAACTCAGCTATACTGGTCCGATATTTCCATCAGGCCCGACCAATACTTCGATGACACCGATGGTCAAACACTGACAGCTTCCGTATTTCCTCTGCGCACACAGATCACGTCTCTGATCCATAAAGCAGTATGGACCACACTGCCACGATGTACACTTTGCCCTTAACATATAAACTGAAGTCACATCGGCGCCATAGGTGTCGCGGTTTGGCCAAAGCTGCCATGGCCCTCCCGATTCGAGAAGTAATCTCGTCTCCGACCAGTCCACTTGAACTTGTAAAACCACCCAAATGAACGAGATATATCAGTAGTTAAGGTACCGGATTTCGCTTCGGAGGTTCTGTTGTTCGAACCCAAACTCAGTGTCTGGGCTGCTCTTTTCTAGGTTCGGGTAACCTTGACGAATCTCATCCCTCGTGCATCCTTTCATTGGCACTGCAGCTAGACACCGAAAGGGTGCTACAGCTGAACGATTTGATTTTTTCTAGTTTTGATCCCATCCACTTTTGTAGAAGAACTTGACACTTTGTAGGTGTGAAGGGATGCCAAACTTTGCAGTAAAGGTTTTTAGTTTATTTAAGATGGCTTGAATTTTTTATGGATCTTTGGCAAGAAGAGCAAAATCGTCCGCATACTCAATGTCTACGATTGAGCGTACTGGCAGGATTTCGATCCATGAGGTTTCAGAGGCGGGCAGAAAGATTTCAAGCAGCAAATCAATGACAAAGTTCAAGTGATCTTGGTGAACTCAGGCGACGACATTTCACTGTGGTTAAAGGCAAACACAGAGGTGGCAAGTCTTTCTGGTTTTATCTAGGTTCTAGACACGATCTCGGAACGTTTAAGTTCAGAATTTGCGAATATGTACTAATCGTCTGTCTGTAGCCATCGTCAACCGTACTCTCGTCCTTCACTCCACACTTCCTTAAATACTTCACCAATCCTCGTAGTGTGGTTGCTTCTTTGTAGTTTCCACCACCTTTTGTTTTCTTTGATACTGGACTCATGCAAGTGTTCTCTTTCTCTCAGATGTCGGCTTAGGTACCGCCTTCTTGGTCTGGATGAGAATTCAGCTCATCTGGCGTGTATGAACACCGACCCATCAATCGTCTCTCATACGAACTCTGCCTTCAAACATAATAATCACACATTTCAATCTGAGCACTCCTACACGCCGACCGTTCAGTCCATCGGAGGCTCACAGTCCACCGAATCAATACAGAAACCTCGGACTGGACCGATTCTGCTCCATTTGTTATCGTATTTTGCCCTGAACCTCATTTTCGCTTCCGTTTGTCTACTGGATCGGTCTGTAAAATACTGTTGGTACGCGTCCTTCCGGAAGTAAGTCGCGCAAATTTCACTGGTGTGTGTGTGTGTACTTGACATTATACCTGTTTGTCGGAAAGCCTGTTTGGCGACGGACTAAAATTTGGCAGTGTGTAGCTTCACGAAGGCCATCCTATACACAGTTATCCACAATGTTGTTCGCTCTGCGCAGTATTGGTTCATCCCCATAATTGTTCGGAATATGATGTGGTGAACGATCTGTACATTCCCAGTGTCCAAGCAGGAAACCTTATCGATGTCGATGCACTTGTCATCCCATCTTTAGGCATATGTTCCGCTACCCCATTTATAAACTGAGCTGGGCCACATGGTCAGAGCGCGAAACTACTGATCGGGAGGTCTGTAGTTCGCATCTGGACTTCCCCGGTCTGGACTTGGACTACCCGGCAGTATCCCCATTCCTCGTGCTTCCTTCGGGTGGCATGGCAGTTAGGCACCGAAAAGGGGGATACGGCTGAACGATTTTTATTGTATAGGCTGAGTTTCACTTTGGTGATAATGCGTCGGCTGAAGTTGAGCCATTAACCGCAATTTATATTATGGGTTAGGTGGCATGGAGTTAGGCACCGAAAAGGGGGATACGGCTGAACGATTTTTATTGTATAGGCTGAGTTTCACTTTGGTGATAATGCGTCGGCTGAAGTTGAGCCATTAACCGCAATTTATATTATGGGTTATCTGTACGTTCAAGATGGAATTTCGTTGAGTCATGTAGGCAGGTAAGTACCAGGCTATCCCAATTGACCATGTTCGAGATACCCAAATTTCTAACGTGTGGAATCTTAAACATATTGAGATCTTCAGAGATCCACGCCCCGGCAATCTGTCGACTGGAAAACTGCTTTTTAATTTGGAACATTTCCTTCATTCTACAAGTGATCAGGACCCTACACGGGGGTGGCTGGGTCAATGTGCGATGCATATTGAATGGTCGTTTACCACCGTCACCCGTATTTACTGGCGTCGATCGAAAGACGGGCAGCACAGGAGCATCAGAAAGGTTACCAACAACATCATATCTGTCGGTGGAATCCACTTTCGAGATGAGATCAACTTGATAGTCCCCATACCCAATTGAGGAGCTACAAAATAAGACCACTAGTCGATCCCAAAGATGCCCTTAGTTCCCGTTTGCCATCCAGACTGGCGGATGTTCGGAATTCTTCTTAATAGACTTTTTTCTCACCCGTCCTTATGTTAGTCACTGGCTTTCACTTAAATAAGTTTAGATTAAACATACCACCAAGGTAAGCAAAACGCACTCATTTGCGAACAAATTTGGCGTTGCGAGAGGCTCACCTGGAACCCAGCTGTGATGTTTCCAGGCAACGAAATGTGCTTCACTAGGCCGCATCATGTTTTAGTTGCTACGAGAGATTCAGCTGGGTTCTAGGTGAGTCGCAAAAACCAAATTTGTTTGCAAATGAGTGTATTTCACCAATTTTGTGCAATTTGGTTTCAAGTAGAACATAAGTTGAATGGAAACTCGAGGACTGCGCCTACCTGATGAGCTCCAAGAAGGGCGAAACCGGTCATGGGCTGTCGACGAATTTTCAGTAACCTTATGAGTAGTGGTTTACGAATATACCAGCAAGGTATTTTCATAAGGAACTATGACGTTCTGTGTGTATGTCGATGCCGCTACCATCTCTCTATCCAACTGGAAGATAAGAGAGTGGTTAGCTCCTAATACGCCATTCAGTTAATCCGAACCACAGTTTATTGGTGCATAAATTGACACGATAAAGAACAGTCAGTATTTCGACCAGTGCGGGTTTTATCGAACTAAAAAGTCGGACAGCAGATATCCAGTTGAACAACGCATGTCCGCTCGCGAATTTAAGACTATACCAACACTGTCGCACCCCTCTGTAGCAGCTGAGTAATCACTCGAATTACGCAGTCTGTACCTTCTAGACAAAAGGGTTGTGATGATCCCAGCAACTGTACTTGAATGTAGCAGAATTCAGCCGACAGAGTATCTAGAGCACGCACAGAGTCGATCTGCTTAAGACCTCTCACCTTGAGTGCTGCAATAGAAACAGGTTAACAAAAACTGAAAAGCATACGCAGAGAGGTGTATATATACTGAAGGATGATTGTTGAGTGGGATAGGTCGATAGTCAAGAGATAACGATGACGGGAGATGGATCGCGTCAGCAACCTGCCTCCCTGTATCCGTCCTGGTGTATGCAGCGATGTCACCATGCGACGGTGGATATGGCATGAAAGCATCTTCGTTTGTTTACTCCATGCCATATGTGGACTGATGTACTACCAGGGCGCCCCAAAGTAGAGAATAGAACCACTATGACCCTCAACTAAAACCTCCAGCTAAGAAGCCTGCCAATGTAGTTCCAATTCCCAACCTGTGGGGGGTGCAGGGAACTGTTTGTCAGACCTCTGTCTATTCACCCACCTGCAGTGAGACTCAGGATACAGTACCAGCCGAATCGGTTATTGAGACCACACCACGGTGAGTTACATTCTCTTCATGACATTGATGAAAGTAAGCCGTTCTCTGTAGCACATCCTTTAGTTTAAACCTATGTGTTCACTCACTCCTCTGTTTTCTTGTGTTTCCTACTTTTTGTCGTCTAGATTGTATATCCAACTACTATAGAAGTTGTACAATATTCCCCTTTCAGTAACGACGTCTTTTGCCTTCAATTCACTGATATTTCTTGCTCTGTTTCCTTCTGCAGTTGTTTCAAGTTTGCTTCCAGAAAAGCCCCGGCTTCGGCTGAGCAAGGTTCATCCAATATGAATGTTGGCGAATTGATCGAAACATTGCTCGCCGGTGAAATTGGTGGATTCAGTTGGTGGGACCCGGGCATTTTCAATCTACCATACAACCCTTTGTTCGTTTCAAACATGACTATAGTCGATGACCGGTGTTCGTGCTCTGCACCTCAGCCAAATTCTGATACGAAGCTTGGATCTCCGTGTAAATCTGCGGCTCAGAAGAAGCCCCGGCGTTCGGTGATCGATTCTGTTCTCGCAGACACAACTTGTTTGTCTCATTCAAGCAGTGATTTCCCTTCTCAGTTCATCTCAGTCCCCAGTCCCTCCGGAATTCCGAACGAGCACGATCTTGTGGCCCAACTTGCACGACTTATCTCCTACTACGAAAACTCGGCTCCCGATGATCCTGCATTGATACTCTTTCGCCATCTCCGTCAACAGCTGATGACCTCAGTTAGTTCCTCCGATCCTCGATCAACACAATCCGCTTCACTTCATGCCGGCGTATCTCAATCTATGACGTTTGCATCCACCAGTCATGCTGGAATCCCTGCACCTCTTAGTTCAGTTAACGTTGCTTCTTCTTCCTTCCCTGGTCTTCCATCTGCGTCGACCCATCCGGATCTCGTTGCTTCCGTTGCAGCTGTGTACGAACAATGTCAGAAACAACTGTCCACACTTACCGAAGTGAGTTCGTCTGATTTTCTTCATAACCATGTATCCTTAGTGTACAAAACAAGAACAGCGCTCCATTATGGTGCAAATCTTTTCTTTGTTCTATTGCAACCTCAAACCTCGCGAGGAACGCTTCAAACGGATTTAGCTGGGCAACTCTACTTTGGGGGAGTGTGTTCAACCTTACGGAAACCGGTAGTACACCAATGTTTCTCTATACTAGCTGGTTTCGGTCATTCTTGTCAAATTACTTCAAAGGTCCCCAATTACGGCGTTCCTTTCATAACAGCTAACTGTGATTTCGCATCACAATCAAGAAATGAGGATAGAAGCTTTAAATTCTTAGCTGAATTCCTAGTTGTTGACCAACAGTGGCGATCCGGATGCCAGCCTCTCTGCAATCTCAAGTGAGTAGTTCCTTGTTCCTTAAATAACTGCACCAAGCTCAAGAGGAAAAACATCACTGTAACGGTTGTACGGTATCTTCGAGTGATGCGTAATACCAGAACCTCCGGGTAGGCCAAACAAGATCGGAGCTGGGTTTCTATATGGTACTATTAGGGTAAGAGAAATTCACAATTTATACAAACCTCGACAGTAGGTACGCGTCCAAAACAAACAGTCCGCTTGGACTACAAAAGTGCAAAGCAAGGGAGCAAACAGGCTCCCACGTGCGACAGTCATACGTGCAAAGTCAGATACAAATGGCCGGATGACCTCAAGGCCAAATGGGCGAAGTGGTAAGGACAAACAAACGTCAGTTCATATATACACACTAAACACAAAAGTGGGGTGGGGGTTACCAAGGGGGACAGAATAAACGTGGGGAATTTCATTGTCAACATAACGGATGATACAATCACATTGTGGCTCAAGTAAGATCCTCGTTGGATTTGATTGACAGTGCAGTTTATCTATCAAGGTAGCGTTTTCTGAACCATGTCACAGAGTCTCAAAGCAGACTAAAGGTAATGTAGCCGGAATGTAGAATGTGAACCAGCAAACAAGAGTGCAACACTTCTTGAATTTCCCAACACATACTAAGCTTTTGTCCTTCAAGATATGGCGTCTGCACACATATAACCTTTGCTGTATGTTGTGCAGTGGGTACTTCCATTGATGAATGTGTCCAGCACCAGAAGCTGCGTTGGTCGGGACATGTGTTGCACATACCGAACTAACGTTTGCCGAAGAGAGTGCTGATTTCCATGCCCGATTCAGAGAGGTGGCCAACCTTTGACTTGGCACAGGAGTATGACGGAGATCACGAAACGCTCGGATTCTGTCGGTGCTACTCGCCTTCCAGGATTGGAACCGCATGATCCTCACTGTGCCTGGTTGGAGACATTACAAGATATGGCTGCCAACCGATGTCAGTGGCGTTCTTGTCAGTTTCTATCCAGATTGCCTGAGTGAATGTCTGGAGGGGTAGGCACCTCGGAATGATTGTGGTAAACTAGCACTAAGTCGCTTTCCTGTCCACCTTTACTCTTTTCTCTACAGTAAGGCTTTCAAATAAATCATGGTTGTACAGCAGTGAAGCATCGGTGTTGAACACTAATGTCCTGCTGTCGATGAGGATGATGACTGGATGTTCGTCTTGAATTTAACATGAGTTCATTCTACGAGTTCATTCTGGTGACCCAGATAACTGAAGACCAAAGCCGGCACGCCGGTTAGCCATGTTGCTTCATAGCACAGTTGTCTTCTCCTAGACACACGACTTTTCTCTCTTGAGCTTTCTGGCGGCTATGTTACTTTCGTGAGGAACGGATCACTTCAGGGAACTGTGGGTAACATTTACGGATCTCAGAGAGTATGGAATATCTTCCGTTTTATTTACATCAGTTTCAGTAACAAGCTGAGTGAACTGCACCCATTCTTCTTCATTCGCTTCGCTGCATGAAAGTGGACCATAGGTGGTTACGATGAGTTCGGAAATTTTAGTAGCGAATTCGCGAGGATTCAAGAAATATCCACAAACGCGGGTTGTTCTCTGCTAAGGGCTTTACCGTGTTTGTGATGTCATTTTTCGGTGGTAGTCTTCAACAGGTAGTCTTCACTCCTGTTTTTGTTGGATCCATCTCCTGTAGCATATATATCAAGAAGGTGTGATGGTCGGAAGCATATCACAATCGGACAGATGAGGACAGTATATCTCGGATCACCTTCCACATCATCCACTTGATTATGCTAGATTCTTCATGACGGAGCGAGGAATAATAAGCATAGACTCTTGGCTCCTACTGGTTGATTTGCCTACCACTTATAGTTTGCCTGGTTTGATCCGTGGTTAAGTGTATATAGTTTTTGCCTCTGGCAGAGATCGACAGTTAATTTGAATGTGGAGTCGTCGATATGATGGTCCTCAGGGTTTCTCTCCTCAAGCCACACGGTCGACTTGGTGTCCCATGTTTCCGATTAGCTTCCCTCGGGACAATTCCCGTTCGTTTTCCCCACTCTGTCCATGAACGACCCGTCCGTCTTGCTGAGCTATTCATACCGCAAATCAGAGCCCTTCTAAGAATTGCACATTCGAGCATATCATGTTTGCTGTCTTGAGTTTTCATGTCTATTTGTGACGGTTGTCACATTCGATTGTGGCACACCTCTGTGTGCGTGTAGTGGATTGTGCATCAGCTAAGTGTGCTTCGTCTGTAGTGTCGTTTGGCCTTTCTTCCTACATCCAATGTCTTCCAGAGAGTGAAATCAAGGATGTTGATGTCAAAAGCTATCTGCAGATTAACGACCGAGGTTGTCATTAGTATCACCAGGTTTACAAAACCCTAATGAAGTTTCCATCCTGTAAGGGAAGCCGATCTGTACTAAAACGCCGATAGGCACTGTTAGAAATCATCAGTAGTGCTCATCTCACAAAACTCCACAGAGTTTCGAGATTGCGACCTTCTGGCCCATCGTTTGAAAAAATAATCCTTCAACCACGAGCAGTACGTCAGCTGTGTGATTAGCTCGCACTTCGACAGGACATACCGCCATTCAGCTTACAATCACAGTGCCTTTCGACTTTTCAGTACAAATTGATTTCACTCACAGGACAAAATATCGATTTTTAAAAAATCCCCAATTTCCTGACGCTACCAACAATTCCCAAGTGCTGCAAATTTCGCAGATGTAGTGACCTCTGGCACAATTCAGTTGCTACTCAACATACCATGTACCACATTACATTGCTCACTTCTTTTAAGGTTAACTATTCTACAAATTCACACAGTTTTACATTTTTCTTCGCAGACCACATCACGCCGTCGGAATCGCCATCGTCGTGTTATCTCAGGCCGCAGTGCTACGGGTGAGTTACTTCTCTAGAGCGTCTCCCTCGGATTACTCCTCGT